ACAGTAAATACAGATGGTTGTGTTGGATCCCTTTGCTTTTGCTCAACATTCAGCGTTGGAATTGTGGCTTTATCGTCTCTCTTATTAAAGTTATTAAACTTTTTGTAGATTCGTCAGGTTTGAAGCGACGCGCGGGGCGACATGCCTCTGGCGGCCGCACGCGGAACTACCGCGCACGGCGGCTCTGGCCGGACGACTGCACAGGTGGCAGCACCTGCCCACATTGCACACCGCCGCCGGCCCGGCCGGTGGAATTTTCCAGCCGTCGGCCGGCCGGTGGCCGGCGAATTTCTCCCGGAGGGAAGCACCTCGCTCACAAAAGCACGTGAATCAGCCGCATTCCTGTGTGGCGCGCAATGCTGAAGAGATATGTGTTTCCGCGGGTATCTCGCAGGCCCTAAGAGAAAAAGCTCGCTGCAAAAACTGAGCAATTCAAAAAACCCGCAATCCTACTCAAATGGATAAATAAATAAATAAATAAACGAACTAACTTTACGAATCTTCTCGGTCGATCGGAAGGCCGATCGTAGCGAAGCTTTACCTCTTTCTCAAGAGAAAAATATAAGAAATTTTCAAAAATTTTACAAAACCGAAATATATGTTAAACATATATGGTTGATGAGCACGTGTGCAAAATTTGAAGTCGATTTCTTCAAAAATGGCTGCGCTAGAGCGTTTTAAATTTACTTGTTCAAAACGGTCACTTTCACGTCATTTTTGTAACTATTTTTTTCAATTTTGAAATTTAAAAAGTGTTTTGGGCAATTTTTCGCGTTATTTGCGAAAATCTGACCAAAACATGTATCGCACCATCAATGATCCGATACGCCATCAGAGGCTGCGCCGCGGACAGGTGGGCGCGGCGATACCTAGGCCGCGTGGGGGTTAGGGGAGAGTGGGGTAATTTGGCCGGTGGTGTAAATTGGCCGCCCCCACCTGTACGAAAGCTGATAAAAGTGAATGAAATAACTTTAGTCTCTATTCATTTGTCGTCGGCAGAACTTACTCGAGAACAAATGTCAAAACTTTCCCCCTCTTAGTTTTATTCAAAATAAATAAAAGGTGAATTTCGTTAGAAAATGGTAACTTTTACTTCCGCTTAGAAATTTGTATAACATGTAGTATCTGGGCTGTAAACGAATTCCAACATTATAGCGCCATTTTTGAGAGTGTTCAGCGGTTCCAAGAGCAATTTCATCTAGTTCTGTACAGGCATGACGACTTTATAGACAAAAATTTTCAGAATGGCAATGTGGGGTTATTTGGCCGGGACTAGCGAGGCAACTTGGCCGGTGCGCTCAGAGTCACTATGCTATAGGACGGCCGAGTTGTCACGGTCAATTATACCATAAAGGACATAATTCATGACCAACTTTGACTACCTTGATGCCATATTTTCTATTGGACAGCTGTAAGGCATGTGACGTCATCAAAGGTTACCTAACGCTTTTTTGCTAATAAATACTTACAGAAAAAAGATACAGCCGCGCAAACGGTATCATTGTGTTCAGCTCGTCAAGTCGCATCAAATGATATACATGATGACCTTGAACTCACGTAACCTTGAGGTCAAGCGACCTGAGGTAACGTGACCTGAAGCTAACCTTTGACCTTGACCTCTCGAGGTCAACACATACATGTTTCGATGCAGAATGACGAGAGAACTACGATGGTACTTTTAGTTTTGGCCTAGCTTGATTACTTCAAAAGCTATTCGTAAAAAAACTGTCATCGCATCTAGAGCCGCTATTTTGACTATTTTCGACCCCTGTGACGACTGAGTCAACCTCCAAAATGCTTCAAATGCGTCGTAGGACACGCGTCATTGCTGAATGTGAAGATGACTCGCCTATAACAAAAATCATGGCCTCAAACCAACACCGGCCAAATTGCCCCACACCCCCGGCCAAATAACCCTGCTAGTGGGGCAATTTGGCCGCTTTGCAGACCTTTGTAATACGTCACAATCTCAATATAAGTAGTTACTCTATCATTTCAAGTTTACTGTCTAAGAAAGTAAAATGTATGCCACACCTGTCAGCGTTGAGAAAATGCAGAAATGTGTTGTCGACTTTTAGTTACATCGTTTTCTAAAAAAGCGGCCAAATTACCCCACTCTCCCCTACACTGGTGTTCGGGAAGGGCTATGTCAACGCGAGGCAGGCCGCGGGGGAGCCGGTTGCGGCGCCGGTCCGTATTTGTCGGCGCCAACAGTGCAGCGGTGCGTTTATGGCGGAGGGAGGGGAAGCGGTGTAGTGTCGGCAAGGCCGCACACAGGAGAGGGCACACGGGCCTCCCCCCCATTCGAGTTGGGCCCCTAATCTTTAGACCGCCGAAGACCATGTAAAATGAACTGAAATAATGATTGAAAAGACCGGGAGGGCCCATCTCGTTCCCCAGCAGGCCCATACGAGTCCATAAATGCCCAGTAGCGCAGCCAGGGGTATTGTGGTGAAATTTCAATGGCCCTCAAAATACCTCAAAGGGCCCACAGATGGGGTCACCGGGTCCTCAGATGGTCTCGAAGGGCCCTCGGTTAGCGTCAAATGGCCCTCATCTGGTGTCAAAGGGCCCTCAGATGGCCAAATGAAGGGTCACAAGATGGCCTCAAAGGGCCATCAGATGGGTTCAAAGGGCTCTCAGCCAACGTTAAACCTATCTCAGAAGACCTTAAAGGGCGTCAAAGGGCCCTAAACCTGCGTCAGAGGGCCCTGAGCTCGCGTCAAACGACCCTCCGAAGACCTTAAAGAGTCCTTAGCTTGTGTCAGAGGGCCCCCAGCTGGTGTCAGTGAGCCCTCCTCAGCAGGCGCCAAAAGTCCATCTGAAGGCCTCAAACGGTCGTCAGCTGGAGTACAACGGTCCTCAGATGCCGTCACGCGGCCCTCAAAAGCCTCAAGGAGCCCTTATAAGGTCTCAAAGGGCCCTCATTTGGCCTCAAAGGGCCCTCCGCTAGCGTAAACCGGACTTCAGAAGGCCTTAAAGGGCCCTTATCTGGTGTCAGAGGGCCCCCAGCTAGTATCAGAGGGCCCTCAGTTGGCGCAAAATGGCCATCAGAAGGCCTCAAACGGTCCGTAACTGGAGTCCAACCGCAACGGTCCTCAGGTGGCGTCAAGCGGCCCTCAAAAAGTCTCAAAGGCCGCTTAGAAGGCAGCAAAGGGCCATCATATGTGATATGACCCCAAAGGGTCCTCTGCTGGCGTCAAACGGACCTCAGAAGGTCTCAAAGGGCGTCAAAGGGCCCTGAGCTCGTGTCAAATATAAAAGCGCCCTTAGCTGGTGTCAGGAGGCCCCCAGTTGGTGTCAGCGTGCCCTCAGCTGGTGTCAGAGAGCCCTCAGTTGGCATCTACTGGCCATCAGAAGGCCCCAAACGGTTCTCAGATGGCGTCCAACGGTCCTCAGCTAACGTTAAGAGGCCCTCAAAAAGGCCTCAAAGACCCCTCGGCTGCTGAAGAGGCCCTTAGCCTCAAAGGAAACTCAAGAGACGTTAAACGGCCCTAAAAAGGCTTGAAAGGGCCCTCTGCTGGTGGCAAAGGGCTCGCATATGACGTCAATAACAGCTTTGTCAAAAACGGACCTGAGAGACCCTGCCGGTCCCTGGTTATAAGGGACTCCTGTCTCTTGCAGTAACCTGAGTGGCCCACGTTTACTGAGGGGCCCCTGGTTATTGAAGGAGTCCCTGGTTACTGGAAGGGCCCAGCTGGTTATCAGAGGGTTCCCTGGTCACCTGGTGGGTCCCTGATCAATTGAAACCTCCCGATCATCTGAGCGCCCCCTGATTGCCTTGGTCTTGGCGTTGGCGTACAGTTTAAAGTCGTCGGCACACTGCGGCCTCCTCTTTCTCAACAAGTCCCTCTATTTCTTCTGCAGCGAGGGCGATTTCGTCAAAATACTCCTCCATCGCGAAGCCTCGTGCGCAGACGTGCAGTCTTCGGGGCGCTCGCTGCGCCAACTCTTGACGCCAACTGACGGGCTCCAAATGGAACAGATGGACTCCGAAACGAACGTGGGAATGCCGACACATGATCCCTCCAAATTTACAGAGGAGGAGATGTCCCTGACAGCCCATTTGCAATAGGGGTCACTTTTACACTATAGACGTATGGGGAATTCGACCTTATCGACATGGTACTACGAGGTCAGCTGATCTGCTTGGCATTTAAATCGTAGTAAAACTGGCATTTAAACGCTGCGAAACAACTTACGTACAACGTAGCTCCGATTTTCCGCTCTTTCTTTTTATCCCTCCGATTTTCTTCCGATCAAGAGAAGTTTCGTACCGAGAGAAGTTTCGCAGCCACGTCCGATATAACTTACGATAGCACGGATCCCCCCCTATCTCTTAGCGTGATATATAATCATTCCAGAACCTTGTTTCCGGGCGGTTGCAATCTGGAGTCTGGACTCCGACCAATGTCTGTAGTTCCGGGTTTCGACACCCGCTGGCCGGACCCATTTTCGCAGCGGGCGGTCGTCGGGACGAGCCGTATGTCGTAATATGATCACGGGCTGTGCCGCACCTCCCCAATGGGATATGGGACGCTCCGGGACACAATCCAATCCGAGACACGGCGCGTGCTGGAGAGGCGCCCGCACAGAAAGTCTGAAATGTTTTATACGGCAGTCTCGCGATGCTTACAGCCAATGCCCTACCATGCTAACGCATCTCGCCTACTGGGAGCGCCAACCTGCCGTGTCTTCCTCGGGTAATTGCAGTTCAGTGCCCAGCACAGTGCTGTGTTGGTCACGGGTGACACAGGGTGACACAGCTGAGTACAGGGGTGACACACGAACGACACGGCTCAGTACACGGGTGACACAGGGTGACACAGCTCAGTATACTGGTGACACACGAACGACACAGCTGAGATTAGAACACGGGTGACACAAGATGACACAGTTCAGATAGCGCAGCTGATTTTATATGCCCCTGTCCACAACTGACGCACCTCCGGTCACGTGACGGCAGCTCAATAACTGAGCGACTCACGGTCTGTTGTCAGGTGCTGGGTCTGATGGTGGCCTGTCTGTCGCACGACCTGGACCACCGCGGCACCAACAACGCCTTCCAGTCCAAGACAGACAGCCCGCTGGCCATGCTCTACTCGACCAGCACCATGGAGCACCACCACTTTGACCAGTGCGTCATGATTCTCAACAGCGAGGGCAACAACATCTTCCAGGTGGGTTGCTTTGATAGCTTAATGATTTCTTGGGAAAATGAAAACATCGGAGTTTTGAACCTAACTTTCAAACAATGGTAGCCGCTGAAGGATACTCGTATTCAACAAATTTCACGCTGTTCATTAGACCACGCTGTTACAGACCGCTGTGTGTGTGCCTCTGTCTATTTCTAGGTGCTGAAGCCCGAGGATTACCGACAAGTGATGGACACGGTGCAGCAGGCCATCCTGTCCACGGACTTAGAGCAATACTTCAAAACAAAGCCCCAGTTTCTGCAGGTCGTCAGAAACGGACAACCCGACTGGCACGAGCCACACAACAAGAAGCGTGAGTACAACATCGTTTTACTTTGATTTTATATCCCTTCCGCGCTATATCAATAGCCGTCCCATTTTATTTAAAGTGACCATCCCACCTTAACATTAGTTTTGAGTTGAGATAGCCAAACTGGTGGCCATGGCCTGCAAATACCGGTTTGGGCACTCACCACAACATCGAAAAAATGCTTTAATTCGGAGATATGGAATTTCAAGCTTGCAGTTTTCGGATTCTAAGGGGCTAATGCATTGGGATGCCCCCTTAGAATTTGTGACGTCAGCGATGATCTCACGATTTTAAAACCTTATACTAACATCTTTGTGAAGCAGTGGTGGTATATGCTATTTGCGCGCGCAACATCTGCCGCAAACGCCGCACTTCCAAAATGAAGTCGCTAGAAACAGCGAAGATCCCAAAAAAGTAAACAAAAGTAAAAGTCTAATATCTTGAAAATACCGGTGAATATTTTTCGGTGAAATTTGGTAGATATTCGTTTTTGCTCTTTCTGAACCAAGCGACATCACCTTCATGCCAATTCATTAACTTTTTTGAAGGTGGGAGGGTCCCTTTAATCTGAGGTGATAATTCGGTCATGCATTTGGTCCGGGAGACAGTATGTGAAATGAGAGAGAGAGAGAGAGAGAGAGAGAGAGAGAGAGAGAGAGAGAGAGAGAGAGAGAGAGAGAGAGAGAGAGAGAGAGGGAGAGAGAGAGAGGGAGAGAGAAAGAGGGAGAGAGAGAGAGAGAGAGAGAGAGAGAGAGAGAGAGAGGAGAGAGAGAGAGAGAGAGAGAGAGAGAGAGAGAGAGAGAGAGAGAGAGAGAGAGTCGCCAGAAGATCTATATTGAGATTGAGCTCACGCTTTTCTTCATTCAGCTAAGATGCGACCGACTTTAAACCATGCCATTTTAACTCGGCAGGGCTATATTCCTGACTGTTTGTGCTCATCACGAATAATAAAGTTGAGTATTCAAAGAGTATATGAAAAAAGTTTTTAACAATCCCGATGCTTATCAGGTCACTGCATAATCAACTCATGATAGACGTGTGTGTAGGTATGCTCAACGTCAAATGTCTATTTATCAATACGTTTCAGCTATCGTCGAGAGCTAACAGCAACTCAGATGATTCGAACACCTATTAATCATGGCTAAAAAGCAGGGCCCCATTCCAGACATGTGCTTGGATCCGGAAAAATGGATCTGAGATCCGATCCGAGATCCATTCAGATCATAGATCCAACCCCTCAATTTTGTCGAGAGATCTACTGGGATCATAGATCTGACCCTTCAATTTTGTCGCTAGATCCACTCGGATCATAGATCTGGCTCCCCAATTTTGTCGTGAGATCCATTGGGATCATAGCTCATAGGTGCTCAAAATGTTAACAACTTTCTTTCATAAGAAGTTATGAATACCAAAGTATGGTTAGAAACAAACAATCTTATACAAAGGACATATTAGTAAAGGCATCCAGTTACATTATACAGAATACAAAATAAAGGAGGCTCATGACGGTCACAACTTGAGAGAATTGAGTGACATGAAGATTGTTCACAGTTCACATACCTACCAACAGAAAAGTTTGCATTAACAATTAACATAGAGGTAAGTCAAAGTAATGACTAATGAACAATACATAACTAGGTACCTACCACATCACAATTCATGTTAGAATCTACATAATGATATTGATAAGACAATCTTGCATTAGACAACCATGAGGCTTTCCAGTTTCCACTTTCCAGCTACCACAATTGATTGATAAACAATAAAAGATGATACTGACTGTCTGACACATGTGGCTTGGTTAGGTAAAGGTATTTCAATCTATTGAAAGAAATATTTGATAAAATAAACTGAGATATACCTAAACAAAAGTATAAAAATATTCAACACCCTGCGGAAGCGATGGGAAGCGAAATATCAATTGTAATGGCCTTGGATATTTACCGTAAAATGATTATTCAGTATCTAAATAGAACTCGTGACGTCATTTCAAATAACAAATGAGCTAGGCGTTCTACCTTCGAGTATAATGAAAATAAATAAAAAATCAAACTGGAAATTCAAAAGTCTGGAGTTTTTTTTTAAAAGAATGTTCATTTTTTCTGCCTCACATAATTTTACGATACGGTTGTTTGTGAATATCATCTTTGTAGCGTTGAATTTAATGACGTAAACGTAAGCTGAAACGGTATTATATGGCCCAGAGCGGTGTGCGCCTTGCATCTTTGTTTTATTCATTTTTCAAAAGAATAACAATATCTTACGTCATTAGTTTAACCCTCGCATGTGTACGGCGTTTGCCAGCTTCTAATGTGTAGGGGGGGGGGGGTCGGTTGGACCCCCCCCTTGCCGTTTGGCCCCTGATTGAGCTAGAGCTTCGCGGAAAAAACGAGCGTGTTGCCCGTGACGAGAGGAAGCCGATGATACCCAATTTTAAGGTCCTAGGTCATTGGTTGACCTTCCAGGTCAGGTCAATGACCCAAAGTCGGGAAAATCGGGACCTGTTAGAAAGTCGTAAAGTGTGGCTGCTAAGGGGTTTTTCGGGGTGCTGATCACGAATATCGTGTTAGTTTTGATCACAGATGATGTCTTGAAGCATTTAGACCAGGTCGGGTCAGGTCAGGTCAGGTCAACCAGTAGGCGTCGTGACGGGTATTCGTAGTACGTGTCAACCGCCTCTGACAGCTTCGTAACATGTTACGAAGTCACCAAAACTACTTCATAAATGTTCAAATGGTTGCTAAATTCGAATTCAGCTCCAAAAACTAGCCTAGAAACATGTAAAACTCGAAAAAGTGACCCGAGGTCACCCGAGGTCACCAAAGGTCAATGACCTGACCTGACCTTCAGGTGACCTTGACACACACGGGAGTAACATCAAATCACATGTTTGAACGTTTGAAACCACGAAAAGCTTGCAAACACGCGGCTAGTGCGAGCCGACATACGCGAAATCGCGATTCCGGCCAAACATGGTCTCGGAAAAGAGGTCACAGGTCAAAGGTCATTTGGGTCAGGGTCATGAAATTTTCAGGGTAGGTGTAAAATTGATCAATGCGAGGGTACTGAAAGTTTCGTCGCGATCGGCCGCTTTTTACGCGAGTTATTCGCGAAAAACCATGGGGGGGGGTCCATCCGACCCCCCCCTACACATGCGAGGGTTAAAGGGCCTATTACGGGGAATCTTTTGGAATCATTACGGTTTTGGTCAAATTAAGATTTTTCATTGGTCAAACGATAATGACGTAATAAAACCATATTACCAAAACGTGAGCTGTGAATTTCGTTTGTCTTTTTTTTTGGGAGGCTCTCTCATAACAAAAGCACAGCATGGCACCATACGTGGGCCCTGTTTCACCGGTGATAGCAGCACACTGAGCACGCTGCTTTTACACGTGTCAAATTGGGTTTCCATGGAAACATCAACAGGCCCATTGCTCCAACCTTTCTTATAGGTTTCTTATAGGTATCTTGGCTCCAACCCTACCACAAGTGTGACGTCAGCTCGCGCAATTTGATAGCAGCGTGGTAGCAGCGTCCCGTGAAACACCGCCGTGGCACTATGCCAAAAGTAGGTAATCTGAAGAAGTTGATGCCATTTTTGAACTTGTAATTTTATTAGGAAAGTATGAGAGGTTGGTTGCTATTCTTACTAAATCGAAATTGTGTTGCACATACTAATAGCTCATACGAACATTCTGGATTGGGATTTCATACCTGGCAGAAGTGGATTGCTGCATGTTTTTATCAAAACTGACCTATTTGGCTTCCAGGTTTGATTCCCTAACATCTGTCCATAGGCGGCAGAACGGGGGGGGGGGGGGTGGCACCAGGGTACAGTGCCCCCCATAGATTTGGCATTTTAACATTAGCCCTACTGGCGTTGCATGGAAAGAATGGGACCGAAATGAAAATCTGCAGTGCCCTGCTGCCACTGCATCTGTCTGTTACTGCTTGTTCATTGAATTAAAGTGGCTGTAGCTTGTTGATAAGATTGTCATCAGTGCTGTCATGAAAAAGTTACAATTGGTCACAAAAAGTAGCAATATGCATGTTCTTGGTTTATTTTAAATGTAGTACAAATGTTGTTTATTTAAATTCAAATTCAATGATGATACCTACCTAATGATTACAAGTGGTCTTAACCAATAACCATGTCCACAAGTGATAATTCTCAATTGTATTGCACTGTAAGGTGTACAATTATGTAGGATAAGGGTTTCATTGGCTACATGTTGTCGTGAGATCCATACAGATCATAGGTCCTCCACAAATTTTTGCCCGCTGGATCCACAGAGATCATAGATCTGACCCCTAAATTTTGTCGAGAGATCCATTCGGATCATAGATCCAACCCCTGAATTTTGTCGAGAGATCCACCCGGATCATAGATCCAACCCCTCTATTTTGTCGAGAGATCCACTGAGATCATAGATCCAGCTCTCGGATCCAAGCACATGTCTGCCCCATTCACTATTGTGTACGTGGGAACGTGAACTAAACAACCACCAAATAGTGATCCTTGATCAAAAGAGTTTTACAAATTGCAATTCTTACTCATATAATTAGCCTATAAAAATTAATCCAAACCCATTTCATGTCGCCATTCGGTGGCTAGTTGCGCCTTCCAGCGAATTCCTCGTCCTGCAGTGTCCCCCTCAATCATCCCGCCGCTCCCCGCTGAGACGTGGTCCGTCCCCAACAATACCCACAGCCGTCCGTGATTCCGCGCCCTGCAGATCGCGATCCCCGCCGACTGTGATGCTCCGCCGGTAACCATGGCAACGTAATAGGGCGGGAAATCTCATCGTATGTCCGCTGCGTGCCCGTAGGTCATGTCTATTTCTGTCGTTTGGTGGAGCGTGTCGGTCAAAAGACAGCCGTCCGTGACAAGTGACCTTAACCGCAGGTTGTTGTTTCATTAGACAAACACTATTCGTTAGAATTGTGTTTTTCTATTGAAAATAGCCGCATTGCTTCGTAGTTCGTATCCAGCGAC